ACGCAACCAACCACACCACCACCACCACACACACACACACAAATACATACATAAGTTGGTTTTGACTAGTGTCTGTTCATACTTAGTGCTTATTTTTGTTATTGGGCATTGGAATCCGGTGTCAAGTAATGACAGCTCTTTCTCGTTATGCCTTTAAAGTAGATTACTACGATTCACAGGCAAACCTCACTCGTCAGTATTTGCTCCTTTACTTTACCGAAGACGCAACGATTGAAATGCATGACCTTAAAATAAAGAGAGTTTTTCTTAAACGTTGTGCCTATCCATCATTAAGCACACAGGAACTATTTATTGGAGCAACCGTGTGTATTTTCGCCCGATCCTTAAAGCTTGTGGATTATGGAGATGAAGCAACAAGGAAGCACTTTTCGGCAGCTCTGGGTGAGTTTATTCTGATCATTACTGAGGAGGGTTTTTCTGCAGCTGGAGATATTGTGGACAAAATTATCTCCAAGGACTTAAGGATAACTAATATTCGACTAGTGGAGTTGCCAGGAAATATGTGTTCGCAATTTGGTATTTCTAAAAGATGCATTGTCATACTAGTCAAGGGATCGGAAGCATCTGACAAAGTGGTTCTATTAAATGAGGCATTTCCAAATACGACTATTGTCTTATCCAATCCCACGGACGTGAGTGCATGCTCTGACGTTGCCTTCAGCCCTGGGAAAACAACTGCGGTGATGAAAAACTGTTCCGTTTGTGTCATCAAGCCTCACGCCATAACAAGTGGCTACCAGGGTGCAATTCTCCAGCGCTTGATTGATGAAGGCTTTCATATTAGTGCGCTGGCGATGTACACCCTAACCTTGGCTGACGCGGAAGATTTTCTTGAGGTGTATAATGGTGTGGTGCCGGAATATAAGAGACTTGTGGAGCAAATGTCAAGCGGCCCTTGTTGGGCAATAGAAGTGTGTGCTGAAAATGCGGTGACTGCGCTTCGGGCTGTATGTGGGCCACATGACCCTGAGGTTTGTCACGTGTTATTTCCTCACACTATTCGTTCAAAATATGGCGTTGATCGCTCTCGGAACTCGGTGCATTGTACAGACTTAGAAGAAGACGCACCTCTGGAGTCTGAATTCTTTTTTTCACTGCTTCAGAATCTATAGTCACGTTTTTTTCCCCCCTTTCAAAGGTCGGTGACACTAGGTCTTGCAACGAAAAACAATCCAACAAGTGAAGGAAAGTCTGCTTCCACAATTCTCTGCAGGAAAGGTGTGTGTACGTGGCAATGTATAATGTTTGATGTTTTATGTAGTATACTTCTGTGTATTCTTATGCCATCGATGCTGTGTCGATTTGAAGATTGTGTTTTGGTGTCGACCAGCTCCATACTCCCAATAAATCATTTAGTATGTATTTTCCCCTGTTTTTCATTTTTTTTACTTTTCCTTCCTTTCTTCTTTCCTTTCTCTCTCTTTGATCTCACGCAATGTCGCGAAGTAGCATTGGAAAAAAAAACAGGAGAAAACAACAACAACATATAACACCAACTGCGAGCAAAGGAAGAGGAAAGAAAGAAATACTGTAATAAGTGGTTTTCGTTACAAAAAAAGAAGGAAAAATGATTCAGCCTCAACTGATTTTGCTTCGAGAGGGAACTGATACTTCCCAAGGCAAACCGCAGTTGATCAGCAATATTAACGCATGCATGAATGTGGTTGATACTGTCAAGACAACTCTTGGACCATGTGGAATGGACAAGCTTATTCACAACGGCCGCGATGTGAGCATCTCCAATGATGGAGCGACCATCATGAACCTGTTGGAAGTGATTCACCCCGCGGCTAAGAGCCTGGTGGATATTGCCATGTCGCAAGACCATGAGGTCGGTGATGGAACGACCTCCGTCGTTGTTCTGGCGGGAGAACTACTCAAGGAGGCGAAATCGTGCGTGGAAGATGGTATGTCTCCTCAGGTGATTATCAAGGCTTTTCGCGTTGCTCTCTCCGTTGCAATGAAAACTCTACAGGAACTTTGTGTTCCGTTTGATCCAAGTTCGGAAGAGGGCCGTAAAAATCTTGTGCGCTGTGCGGAAACTGCACTCAACTCAAAGCTCATCAACACGGAATGTCTCTTTTTTGCCAAAATGGCCACCGATGCGGTGCTGTCCCTCGACAGTGACTTAAACCTCGACATGATTGGCATCAAGAAGGTGCCTGGTGGCAGCATGCGCGAAAGCATTCTCGTTGATGGTGTGGCCTTCAAGAAGACATTTTCCTACGCTGGATTTGAGCAACAACGCAAAAAGTTTGAGAACCCAAAGGTGTTGTTGCTGAACGTCGAGCTAGAACTTAAGGCGGAGAAGGACAACGCCGAAGTGCGTGTGAAGGACCCGAAACAGTACCAATCTATTGTGGACGCGGAGTGGAAAATCATCTATGATAAAATGGAAAAATGCGCCGAGACTGGAGCGAAAATTGTTCTCTCCCGTCTTCCCATTGGTGACCTAGCAACGCAGTACTTTGCTGATCACGACATTTTCTGCGCGGGCCGCGTGAGCGCGGATGACATGGCTCGCGTCGCATTGGCCACAGGCGGGGTTGTACAGTCGACGGTGAGTAACATTCCTAAAGAGACTTTGGGAAGTTGCGCCCTTTTTGAGGAGCGTCAAGTAGGGACGGAGCGCTACAACTTCTTTACTGGTTGCAATAATGCCAAAACAGCCACGATCATTCTTCGTGGTGGGGCACAACAGTTTATTGATGAAGCAGATCGTTCCCTTCACGACGCCATCTGTATTGTGAAGCGTGCCTACAAGACAGGATCGGTGGTAGGTGGAGGCGGTGCCGTGGAAATGGAACTGAGCAAGGTCCTCCGCGAATATTCGCGTACTATCCGTGGAAAAGAGCAAATGGTGATTGGAGGATTTGCGCGGGCCTTGGAGGTGATTCCGCGCCAGTTGTCAGAGAATGCCGGACACGACAGCACCGACACGCTCAACAAACTTCGTCAAAAACACTATATGGCGGGAAACAGTGGTAAATGGTACGGAGTGGACATCATTAACGGTGGTGTTTGCGACACGTTTGAGCGTTTTGTTTGGGAGCCAACATTGGTAAAAAGGAATGCTATTCAAAGCGCTACCGAGGCGGCTTGCCTTATTCTTTCCATTGACGAGACCGTCACCAATCCAGAGTCCGAGGCCGGAAAGAAACAGGCGGCAGCTGCTCGCGGTGGTGGTGCTATGCCGATAAGTAAGGCTGGCATGGGCGGCATGTTTAAGGGCGCTCCAGGGGTGACAAAGCTGAAGGGCCGTGCTGGGCGATGAGAACATCGGCTTTGGATGTGTGCTTTTTTACGTTTAGATTTAATAAATAAAGGAGGCGAAGAGGGATTGCCTCTAACATATTTTAACCTGTCTTTTGATGCGCATATGTTCCATACATGCATGCACACAAATACATGTCTTTCCCTTCTTTTCTATGATTAGTGAGGAGGTGTTGAAGGTCGCGAGGTTTTCGTTTGTTTTTTTTTTTTTTGATATTTGCCCTTTGCCTTTTCCTTCTTTCTAGAGTTGTCCATGGTGTGTTCTTCTCTGTGCCCTTTTTTTTTCTCTCCTCATGTGTCTCCACTTTCTTTTCCTAAACGTTTTTTTTTTTTTCGTGTTTCTTTCCTGGCCTTCCTTTTACAACGCTTTTTCCTCCTGTACACGTCGCATGATGACCACCCCCGCGGTGTAGGCGCACCGACATCAGGCGAGGCATTTTTTTTTTCTGTGTGTGGGTGTTAGTGCTGTTTTTAAAGACTATTCCCTGTGGGGCTTTTGCTTGGCGGACCGAACAGGGCGAGGGAGCATCACAGCTGAAAAGGCAAGACGAAGGAGAAGGCATACACCACAAAAAAAAAGCGCCAACACCAACAGCCATAGTTGTGTTCCTCTCATCCTATTTTGGGAACTTCCACCTACAAGTAACGTAGTGCCAGCATTGCTCTCGCGCGTTCTCACGCATGTTGCGTCGGTCGCTCGTCACCTTTCCTTGGTGGAACTTTCAGACGGAGCACCGTCAGCGGTGTGTCATGATGTACGGTGGGGCACGCACGAAGAACACGCACAACGCCAATCATCGTGTTTTTATCAAGAAATACAAACGCAATGCATTTCCAAATAGAACACGACACCATTGGGCCGTCTCCATGACAGGTGTACTCGGTCAACGTCCGCGCCGAATGCCATGGCCGTATGACTTGACCTCGATGATCTTTAACCAGCCGCGGCAAGGGTCAGACAAGATTGGATATGTGGTGGGCACAAGCATGTTGAAGACGGCTGTGGTGGCCGCGAACCACATGGTGTACTACCCCAAGTTTAACCAACGTGTCTCGCGTACGAGCCGCTTCTTTGCCCACGACGAAGACTTGGCGTGCGTAGAAGGGGACCTGGTGCACATCAAGCAGTGTCGGAAGATATCCAAGTACAAGCACTACTATGTTTTTAGTATTTTGGAGCCAAACATTGAGGGCCGCGAGCGGCTAAAGTTAGGGCTAAAGGCTGTGCCACCTCCTCTGTTTGGATACCCCGTCTCTCGCCGAATTGTGAAGCTGAACCTGACAAATACGGAGGGTACCAAGGAGAAGCTTGCCGCGGTAATACAGGAGCATGTGCAGGATGCTTACAGATTTGCTGGACCCACTCCAGATCAGCCACGAAATCGTCTGACGGATTCTGCAACGTTTGACGATGCAAATAACATGATAGCACCCAATGCTGCAGCAACACAGACATCTCTGGAGGGTGAGGAAAGCTCAACGCTGTTGGGGGACAAAGAGGAGTACACGGAGGTGGAACAGGATACACGGAATAAGAAGGGTGATGACTACTGGATGAATCTGCAGCCCAAGGAGAAGTACGATTTCAAGGGTTTCAAAAAATCCCCTTAGATTATTTAGCGCATTACATTTCACGGTATGAATTGAGCAAAGCTCACAGCGTCTGGTAGCTGTGTTTTTTTGAAGCTCCCTCGATCAGTAACTTTATATACACATATATGTGTATATTCTCTCTGTGCGAGAATGTGCTTATCCCTCTCACCTCTCTCTCTCCTTTAATATAAACGAGACTTTTTAAATAATAATAATACAAATTATCTTTTTTTTTCTTCTGATTTCTATGCCGTTATGTGTAGAGAAAAGGTACAATAAAGGTCCAAAATCGTCTGGCTTACGCACACTAAACACGCACACGCACGTCTGTCCGGTAATAGGAAGATAAAGCTACGCCTTGTATCATGCCTGGATTTTCCTTTGAAAACGTGCAGCGAAACCTGAAACTGCAGCAGCAGGGCCTGCATCCTCCCAAAACACTCAAGACAGGAACGACGATTGTGGGGATTGTGTACAAGGATGGCGTAGTACTGGGTGCAGACACCCGGGCCACAGAAGGTAGTATTGTGGCGGACAAACGATGCAAAAAGATTCATTATATGGCACCCAACATTATGTGCTGTGGAGCAGGAACGGCGGCAGATACGGAGGCGGTGACAAATATGGTTTCCGCCAATTTGGCGCTGCATCGTCTTGATACAGGGAAACAGTCCCGGGTGCACGAGGCACTCACCCTGTTAAAGCGTCACCTGTACAGGTATCAAGGCTATGTCAGCGCCGCGTTGGTTCTTGGTGGCGTGGATGTAGAGGGCCCTTTTTTGGCGACGGTTGCGCCACATGGTAGCACCGATCGCCTTCCTTTTGTCTCCATGGGAAGTGGTAGCATCGCGGCCATGGCCGCACTGGAGTCCGGATACAAGGAGAATATGGCAGTTGAAGAGGCGAAGGAGCTGGTGGCCTCCGCCATCCGGAAGGGAATCTTCAATGATCCGTACAGCGGCACACAGGTGGATCTGTGCGTTATCACGAAAATGAAGACGGAGATGCTTATCGGGTACGATAAACCAAATGAGCGCAGGTACCCAAAACAGGATATTTGTTTCCCTCCAGGCACCACACCGGTGCTGCGGGAGGAGATACGGCGGTTGGTGACAATCACCGAAGTCGAGTGAAAATATGGGGCGCAATATTGCAGAGAAGAAGAAAAAGAAAAGAAAAGAAAAGAAAAGGGGAAGTAGACACCCCAAACCAAACGATGAAAGAAGGAAAAAAAAAAGAAAAATAACAGGTGAGCGAAAAAGGCAGGGATAGCATTGGGGTGGATGCATACCAAACTCCCCCTTCCCTCTACAAAGGAGGAGGAGGGGGATAGTGTGGGAAGTTCCCTCCAAAAACGTGCACCCTGCCGGAGTGACACCCCTCGAAGGAGGGGGTCCGTCAAAATGTGTCTACAGGTGCCGAGCGAGGAAAGAAGGAACGAGCAGTGCTTTGCTACTGTTGGAATTGCACCGGCACTCTGGCAGTCTGCTCACTGTTGATGATGTGACCAACGGAATGTCTCATCATACGTGAAACCCGCGTAATTTTTTTTTCTTTTTTTGGTTTGCTTTTGTGTTGGAGGGGGGAAAAACGAAGAAACAAAACTCATTTTCCTTCTCTTCTTCTCTTTCTCTTATTTTTTTTCTCCTGTTTCCATTCATTACCCCTCGCACGAGGTCGAGTGCGAATTCGTTTGGTTGTTTTATCACACTCACCTATCGGCTTATACATAGCGTGGCTGGGCAGCAGCAACGGCGGCCCAAGGGTTTGCTTGTCGGGTTAAAAGGGGAGAAGGTGGATTGCGGGAAGCGATATTGTCGTTGACCCCACGTCCGGTGCGGGGAGTGGCAATTATTTTTGAAAAATTGATGTCAATTTAGAACAGGACAGTCCTCTGTGCAAGCTGTGTGTGTTGCGCCTGTGAGGTTCCCTCCAGCAGAGCAAGGAGAGGCGGAGGGAACGCGTCGAGGCGCAGGTGTGTCCTGATGAAACATCGGCCCCAAGACGGTTGTAGCGCCGCCACTGGCGTCTCTCCCATTCCGCCTACTCGCTACAGTCCCTCTCCTCTGACGCCGAAGTGGGTGGAGGCCATTGGCGTCGTGTCGTTCGACCTGGAGCTAGGCCAGACCTTGACGCACCTGTTTCCCCCACTGCCACTATCGATCCCGCAGGAGACAGATTTGGCCTTCCTGTGTTTTCCGGACACCAACCACACGGAGTATGGCCACTCGCTACACCACTTCATATTTCCCATGAAGAAAAAAGACTATGACATCACACGAATAACGGTTGCCCGCATGCCACACTCGACGAAGTTGCGTTCTGTTGTCTTCAAAGGGTCGTCTGCCTCTTCTGCGTCGCATGGTGACGTGTGTGACGAGGAGTGCTTTTGCTCGGCTATTTATCTACAGCGAAAAGACGCAAGCAATGAGCGTGGTACCCAACAGAGGGCTCTTGTTTTGATTTCTGTATATGCGTTTCCTAAAATTTTTGAGACGATTCTTATGGCAGTGTATAGTCTTGTTTTGGAATCTTATGACGTTTCAGGAAAACTGGAGGCTTTATACTATGACATTGACTCTTGGCCAGTTCCATTACCGACACGGCTGTATACAGGACTACATCTGTTAGGCAAGTCGCTCCAAAGCTTTAGGACGCCGTACTATACAAGCGATCGACTAGGTTCTCATTGGCGCGAGGACGGTCTTGGTCGTGAAACAAAATGTTTTCTTGCACGGCGGCATTTGTTAGAAGCCTTGGAAAGTCCGCGTCCCGATCTCGCAGTCAGGCAGAAGCGCTTAGAACGCTCTCTGCATGGGCCTTCAGCCATCGAAGGTATGGGGGACTACATTGAGAAGCAGTTGGGGCTTCCCCTAGACGTCGCTGCATGGAGGCATTCGGACGTGTTGGCTGCGATTGAAGCCATTCGTATGCGCAAGTACGAAAAGGTTGATCTGATACCACCGACAGAGGAGGTTTCAGAGGGGAGTTTTGAAAAAGTTGTGAATGATGATGTGAGAAGTATTCTATACCGCTTTCCGCAGGGTTGTTGCGTAGCACCGGAGGTTGCTGTCATTCAAAATAAAGAACTTCGCCAATGTAGGCGGCTTGCAAAGCGGCTTCTCTCTGAACACAGTGATTCTGCGGTGGACGTCGATGAAAGCGATGCTGCAACCATGTTTTCAGAATTTGATGTTCAGTCCATTCTGTTGCCGCACTTAAACCGTCTCTGGAAGTTGTGGGAACTCCTCCTTACAGGGGAATCCCTTTGTGTCTTGGGCAGCAACTTGCGTCGCACGTCTGCTGCCTGTTTCTGCCTGGTTTCCCTCTTGGCGCCACTTCCGTTGAGTATCGTTCTTCGGCCCTATGTAACGATCAATAGCTCTGAGGTGGACCACATCTTGCCGCATTCGGGGTTTCATCGTCCTGTACTTCTTGGCGCCACAAACCCGTTTTTTCTACGTCACTGGATGAACTCGCCCCATGTTCTTTGCTTGGGGGCAGTGGATAGTGACGCGCTTCAGACCCACAAGACACTACCGCTTTCAAGTTTGAAGAGCCGTAAGTGTCAATTTGACGTTAAAACGCATATGTTTTCATCTAAACATTTTCTGATACGCACCGAAAAACATGTCTGGGACGTATGCGCAGCCAAGACATCCTCCGTCGGGATTCTGGCGTCGTCGACGACGGAATTGGCTTCGAGTAATGCGGAGGTCAATGTGGATCACGACAACTCAGTTAGGCAAACTTTTTACAAGTTGACAAAAGAGTTTCTGCTGCCCTTGGAGTGGGCTGTGGGAATTGAATTCGAGAAGAGTCGCAGTCTACTTGGCTTTTACGACGACGACGACGTTCCGTCGTCGGTTGAGATTTTTAAGGCTTTGGAACGCTGCAACGAGAAAAAGCTGCCGCTACACATGTTCAAGGGGCGCCGTGACATGTTCAAGGTTTACCAGAGGTTTATGAACACATCAACGTACAACTGCTGGCTTCGACAGAGGCTCTTCACCTTGAGGCGTGCTCTGCTGCTGCGGTCAAGTTCACTCGAAGCCGTGCTTCTTTTGGAGCCCGACCCTTGCCGACGTTGTCTGACCCTCATGAGTCTGCAGTACATGTTGGACGTTGAGCTGAAGAAGCCCCTGCTGGATGTTGTGCTTTTGAAGAAACTGCTCTATTTAACGAAAAATATGGAGGCCCTTCGCACATTATTGTCCACTGCAGACATTAACGAGGAAGGCGTCACTAATGTTAGTCTTTAGGGAGGCCTTGCCGTGGTTATCCTGCGATATATATATATTTTTTGCTTTCATTGTGAATCACTGAAATAGCGCATCTAGCATACACATATATATACTTTTATTCCCTCTGTGTATGCATAACTTCCTTTGTATAAATGCTCTTGTGTAAGCTGTGGCATGCTCGGCCGTATATACAATGGGGGCACTACTGTAAGTAAACGGTTTTTTTCTTCTTTCCTTTTTTACTGCTTTCTTTTTCTTCACTGTGGAGTTTTTTTTTTTTGCTTTAGCTCTTTTTCTTTTTTAGTTGTTGTTGGGTTTCCGCACAAGCTGTAGAAGGTCGTGCATACCACTGCCTTTCTTCTGGTGCCCATTCCAGAGTCGAGCTCTCGTTGTATCTCTGAGCAAATTATGAGCGCACGCCTGGCTAGATGTGACCCTCGTCTGCTGGACTTTGTTACCTGGGCCGTCCTAAAGGGCTGCCGCCTGTTTCAGCGCGTTCAAATAACACCTTTGGGACTGGTTGCCACAAGCACGATACCCGCGTATGATTTTGTGGCTGTTGTTCCAACCTCTGCGACCCTAAGTCTCCTCAACCTTGCGGAAGATGGGTCCTTTCCACTCAAAGTTTCACCACAAAATCACGGCGAGGAGCTGGCGTTTTGGCCCGATCTTACATATGGTTCGTTTGCATTCATTGGGTACCTTACCAAGGCCCTGCGGACCGGTAGTCCACGGGGGGTGCGGAGTTATTTGGACGTGCTACCCTTCGATCCGGGTATGGCCATTGGCAGCGTGGCAGATGCCGCGCAGACGACGAAGGGTTATTCAAAGATGATAGAGCCGCTCAAGAACGTTTGCAAATCGCAGGATGTCGAGTTTAATGTGACCTTTCGGCATGCTTATTGCCTTTTCCGCCGGCATGCCATTCCGTTCTGGAGCAACACCGAGGCGGGTAGCGGTGGTCATCCAGACTTCCAGCACTCGCCGTATGCTGAGGAGAGCTATGGGGACATTTTGGGAATGGTGCCGGTGCTGGATTTGGCGTTGCATTCGCCTGAGCCAAATGCATCGATTGGATACCCAGATGCTGACATGTTGCAGTGGCTAGCGCAGGAAAAAAAGGCGGGTATTCAAGTGGATAAAGGCTATTTTGTGATGCAGGCCCAGCGTGACATTCACAAGGGTGAAGTCATCACCGTGAATAAGAATGCCTACTTCAATTTTGACGATGCTACATTTAAGGCGTGGTTTGGCTACCCAAATGCTTCCCAGCTTCATCAGAGCGCTGAGACCGTCAGGGTGCCTACAGCGAGCTGTGACGATGTTCTGGAAGCAGGTAATCCGGAGCTTCCGGAGATGTAGCGAAGTAGGTAGGCGTAGCGGCGCTTCTCTGCATACGTCACGCACCGCTGTTTTTTTTTTGCCTTTTCGCGTTGCTATGATTCTGGATGCTATCTTTGTACTTTTTTTCCCCCTTCCTTTGCTTAGATTTGGAAACCAACGGGCAATGCGGAGTACTACTGTTTGTGGTGCGTAGGAGAGAGGACAGGTGACGGTTGCGTGTGTGTGTATGCGTGGTGTGTGGCGGTGCTTTTCACCATCCAACCTTCCTCTGCCTCGTATCCTGCTTATTGTTTTTGTTATTCTTTCCCACTTTTCTATTAATTGCCCTTTGCAGCGGAGCGGCGTAGTGCAGTGCAGCTGGTATCTTGGCTGGCGGCGCGGGCGGAGGGAAGTTGATCCTCACCAATGAAGAATGTGGAGTACAAGCTGGCACGCCTTGAGGAGCAGAATGCGTCGCTTCGGCAAAAGCTGCGACACCAGGAGAATGAGATCAGTCGGCTCTCCGTGCGTGAGTCGCAACTGAAGGAGACGCGGCGGATGCCTCTGCTCCAGAAGCGTCTTGACGCGGCACTCACTGAGCGCGAGGAACTCGAGTCTCGCCTTGCCGAGGCACGCGGCAGTGAGGCGAGGCTCTTGGACGAAGTCAACCTCCTGCGGATGTTCGTCAAACTGGGCGAGAACCCGGAACTCGCGGAGACGGCGCGCCAGTGCGTCAATCATCAGCGTATCCAAGAGGAGCTGAAGGCGCTGGGTGAGCAGCTAGGCTGTATCGCGACCGAACGGGAGGAGTACAAGAAGCGGGCAATTCTTTCCTGTGAAGAGGCAGAGTACTACCGTGCTCAGCTAAATGCGTCATGTGATGAGAAAAGTAAGTTAGAGACCTACATAAAAAAGCTGCTTGCCGAACAGACGATGCCATCAACGGTAGCTCCCTCGTCTGGTTGCGGGGTGGTGAAGGGATCTTCTTCCTGTGGTGTGGACGCAGCGGCGGGAAAAGAAAAGCTTGATATAGATGACATGCAGCAGCTACGGCGAAGTCTTGAAGAGGAAAGGGCCCGCAGCGAAGCTCTGCAAGAGACTATAGATGCATTATACGAACAGCAACGGAGGCAACGGCGCTCCGGTTCGAAAGAGTGCCGAATTGTTGGTCCTCCAACCCTCAGCAACGAAAACGACGACGCTTGGCAGGGTGCAGCGGATACAAGCATACCTGCCTTGCGGCAGCAACTTGCCTATGCGGAGGGTGAATGTAGGTTGGTAATGAACAGATGGCGTGCGCTTAGAGAACAAAACAAGAAGCTGCTCTCGCGTATTGCGGAAGTCGAGCTCGCGGAGGCCACGGGCCGCGGTCAACTTCATCGACTTTCAATAAAGTGTGAACAATTGAGACGTGAACTTGTATTTGTTCGACAAGCGCGATCCCTGGCTCCCCATCATCAGGAAGAGCCAAGACGCGATGAGGGTTTCAAAGCCGGGATCGGCTTGGCACAGTGAGAAGCGCCAGTTTTTCTCGTTGCAATGTCGTATTCACTCTTGTTTTATACTTTCTACCATCTAATGACGTTGGGTTCACTGTGCAACACCCAAAAACGGCAACACATCACTAGAACATGATATTATTATTATTATTATTATTATTATTTATTCTTGCCTTTAATTATTCTTTCCAGCCCTTTTCTGGGTAGTAACAACAGTGTAGCCGAGGCAGCAGGTAAGGGAATCGAGTAGTGCGGAGGGCAAGTAAACAAACAAGCAAAGGAGGATGTCGCAGCTGTGGGTGAAGCGCGCCAAGGCGGAGGTCTCACGACACTCTCGCCTCCTAGAAACGATTAATCGTGTCTTCCCTATGCCGTTTGAGGAGCGGCGTTCGCGTGTGGGCATGGTGACGTATGGTACCTATCGATGGTTTCGCTACTTTCCCTTCTTACTTGTCCCAGTCGTGGTGGTTGGGGCCATTTTGGAAACCCGCGATATTCCTCAAGAACACGTTTTTACTTCGCTGCATTTGTGGCTGGCAGACCACGGCATGTTTCGGCATGACACGGTGAAGGCGCTTAACCCGGCTTTTGAGGATGAGCGACGGGCAATAGAATGGAAGGCCAACGATCGCAAGTGGAGATTTACAGGCATTGACATGCTTTCGGAGAAGGAGTTGAGGGAGTTTGCGGCAATCAATATTCAGCGGCAAAATCTGTCATCGTCGCGGTAAATCGCATGCTGCAGTTTGTTTGCTTGTTTTTTGTTTTTTTCGGGATACTCACCGGAATGCCCGACGTCTCACCTCAGTTTTGTTTTGTTTTTGCTTTCGTGCTGTGTTGTCGGTGCTTTTTTTTTCTTCGCTTGCTTGGCTTCTGTAGCAGTGCCACTGCAAGATGACAAGTTTGAAACTACGCCACGCGTATCACGCTTTTTGCGACGGTCAAGTTGCAGTTTGCCGCGTCTTTTTTTTCTTTCTTTCTTTTCTTACTGTTTTTTACGCTTTGCTGATGGTTTCAGAGGGAATTGCACTACCATGGGAAAGGAACAGGCCAACATCAAGGGTTGCCGCTTCCGCGTGTCTCTCGCCCTTCCGGTGGGTGCGGTGGTCAACTGCGCTGACAACACGGGCGCCAAGAACCTTTACATCATCTCCGTGAAGGGCTACCACGGCCGCCTGAACCGTCTGCCGTCGGCCGCCCTTGGCGACATCGTCATGGCTTCCGTGAAGAAGGGCAAGCCAGAGCTGCGTCGCAAGGTGCTGAACGCGGTTATCATTCGCCAGCGCAAGAGCTGGCGCCGCAAGGACGGCACCGTCATTTACTTCGAGGACAACGCCGGCGTGATTGTGAACCCCAAGGGCGAAATGAAGGGTTCCGGTATCGCTGGGCCCGTCGCGAAGGAGGCAGCTGACCTCTGGCCGAAGATTTCGTCCCACGCCCCGGCTATTGTGTAAT